TTTTTCCAATTTTATTGTAACATTCCAACAAAACAAAAATTAAACAAATAATTGGAAGACATGTTATCCTACTTTTTATATTACAGAAGTATATATAATTTTCTATATAGATATACAAACATAACATTTTGTATTTACATAATTATACTATGCTCATAATAATAATCGCACTGAGTATACACTTTCCATATAATTTTATATATATGTATGTGTATGAATGTATGTTAAAATACTGGGTATTGTATACGCTAATTCTTTATGCAAATTAATCGTATATATTCATATATATTATATACACCCTATATTAGTATAATAAGTAAGAATTTCCATATTTATATGCCATAAATGTATATTGAATTCATAATAAGCGTACAAAAAAAAAATAAAACAAATATTTTTTATACATAGAATACATTCTATATGAAAAATGCATAAATGAATATCAATACGAACCAATGTATTTATGATTATGTTATTTGTATATATGCATGTATGTACAAATTTGTCGTATATATTATATGAAACTTGTGAAAATTAACAAATAGAAAAACAGATGAGCTGTCAAACTGTCAACATAAAATAGTTTTCAAAATAATAATAATAAAAAAAAAATTATAAACAAAAACAAAAAAAGAAAATTCCATAGCATAAAAAAAAATTTTGCAGAGGTGCAAACATGAAAAAAAAATTTAAGTACATGAAAAATATTAAAAAATATATCAGTGATTCTCAAATTCAATTAATTTTCAAAATGAAATTGGAAAAATTCGCTTATAAAATTTTCATTTTGTAATCAATGTCATTTTGTATAAATATTTTGCCATACCATTATGAATTGAGTGGGATACAGAAAAAAATTCATGTATATATGCATATGTAAATTCAGAGTTATTATTAATAATCATCAGAATTAATTGAGCTAATCTACTAAACCAAATTTTGACCGAAAATTTATTGAACTAGATTAAATTTAGAAATAGAATTAATAAGTAGCGAATTTTTTTTTTTTACAATATTTTTTCTTGTAACCACACAATTTGATTTTGATCTTGTAACCACACAATTTGACTAGAACAGGTTCTTGCAACTGAAATTAAATTATTTTTATAGACACTTTTTCCTTACATTTTCAATACAATTTAAGAGTAATTTAAAAATTATATTCTTAATTAATAACAGAACTGTGAATTAAAATTATTTTTACCGGTAATTATATTAAAACCAGAGAGCCAGATTAAGTATCGCTTTAAAAGGTGTTTTGGGCTGTTATTTTCACATATGTTTACCACTATTGAGTTGGTATATTCCTGTCATTTACTTTTGCAACATAATTTCATGTTAATATTAGCAATATGATTATAATTTTCTAGTTGATTCATTTGAAAAGCTCAAATTGAAACCAGTTCTTTGAACATTTTGGTCGGAATATCACCAGTTTAACAGTTAATATAAATTTTAAATTAATGTAATCAATGCTATGTAATTGATTTTAATATTAGATTCCAGATATCCTAAAGGAAAACAATTAATAAGCGTCGAAACGAATTATCTTGGTAACCAATTGACATATTCAATTTATTCAATATTATCAATAATTTGAAAGAGTTATTCATGCTATCCCGATGACAAAATAATAAAATTTTATTTTATTTGACTTAGAATTTTAAAATAAAATCTTATGATTTCTAATATAATTAAATCAATTTTCATGATATTCTTTTCAAATTAATATACTTCCAATTACTGGTTGATTTCAATTCCGTGAAAATCTAGCACAAAATTTTCTCAAATTAATCTAGTAAACATAGATTATATTATAATATAACAATATTTGGTGATCACAACAAAAAAAAAATTGAGCACTAGAGGGTTAAATAAAAATTAAATGAAAAATTTTTATGAATTGGGTACGCCATTTAACTTTTATATGGTTGACTACTCCTTTTCAATTTTTCTATATGTATATTCATTGTTATTTTCTATTTATATGTAAACATGTATATATATTATTAATTTTTGTGTATATATATATATATATATATGTATACAACATAGATTTTTCTATACACTCATTTCATTAATACATTATCGTCATACATACAAACATACATATACATATAAATTCATTCTCTAGGTATATAAAATCAATACTTTCCGGAGCAAAAGGAAAATCAAAAAAAAAACAAGAAAATTAAATAAGAAAAACAAGAGAACAAATAAAGCATAAAAATGAAAATCAAAGTATTTCAGTCCCACTTTTTTTTTCTCATTTTATTTTTCTCATTCTTTTTTTTAGTCCTTTTCTTGTTTCTGTAGTCCTTTTTTATTACAATTTTTTTCTTTTCTTATTTCTTTTTTCTATTTTTTTTTTTTATGTTCATTTCAGTTTTTAAACAAATAATTAACAATTTTCTTAAAAATGTTCCTGTATTAAAAAATACTTGGCTGCATGTTAAATAAGGGGATTTAAGATAAAAAAGGAAAACAAAACAAAAAGCAAAAAAATATACACGTGTGTATGTGTGATTGTGTATGCAATGTAAATGTTATGATGTTGTCAAAAGATGTAAATTATATCCATGTATTCATTACAATGTTAAGTATGTTAATATGTAGGTATGTGTATGTATATCTGTATAACAAAAATAAACTTTCATAATAGTTAGTACCTCATTTTTTTTGTCCTTTTTCTTATAATTTTATGATTATGATTTTTTTTTTGTTTCTTGTTTTTTTACACTCTAACATTTGTGTACCTTTATTATCCTTTTCATTTATTCATTTACATATTTATTTTCGTTTTTTTTTTCTTGTTCTCTTCTTTTTAATACAACAGTTATTCGCTTTCGTTTTGTGTACCGATTTTCCTTGTTTTTAGTTTACAATTTTTTTTTTTCGTTTTTATTATTTTGTTAAATTCTCGGTTCTTGCAAAATTTTTGTGATTTTCATTTTAGATTTTGCTCTTTTTTTAGTTCTTGTGTGTTTTGTATACTTAACGAAGAATAAACATCGTTAAAAAAACTGTAATAAAAAAAACGAAAACAACATAAAATTAAGCAAAAAAAAAAAAATGAGAAAGAAAACAGAAAAAAATCAGATAAAAAAAATGAAACGGAATAATGAAAAGGAATAAACGAACCGTGTGTGTATATAAGAATGAAGAATATATACAAAATAAAAAATATGAGATAGGGAAAGCAAAAAAACAAATACCAAAAAATATAAAATTATCCTGAAACCTCAGCTTTTCAATTCAGCAGGATTCAAAGACCGTTACCAAAAAGAAAAAAAAGATCCTTAAAATTACCCGATTGTAATATTGACATTTGTCATTTTAATTTTAAATTTATATGTATATATATATGTGCGTATGTTTGTAATGTTGGATTTTTAATTCAAACATTTCATTTATCTTCAATACAAAGAAAATTAAATGCATACATTTATCGTTTTAGTGTATATGTGTTTGTATTATAGCGAGTATTACAAATTTTTGAAAATTTTTATTGTAATACGAGTACTCTTAAATTACAGTAAAACTCGAAATGAAGTTAAAATTTTTCAATTACGCTTTTATAAAATATTAGCATGTTTGAGGGTGTCAGAGGCACTGGTCTTTGATATTTACACAATCGAAAGATGATACACATCACATAAATATTTTTTTTTTTCCTATTCTAACATAATATAAATATGACTGCTTAATTATATCATATTTAAATTCATCAATAAAAATGACAATCAAAAAGGGAACAGAAATATTTCACTCTATTCTCATCTTTGAGTGATATTTTATAAGCGTGCAGTAATCTCTTTGCTTTGAATAATTTAGTTTTGCAGAAAATGTATAATTAGAATTACATTATTACAATATAACAATACGTAAGCAATGCGTTCGTGCTGCGTTATTATTTGTTTTAGTTTATACATAAGTTGTGCAGAAAATCGGCATATATTTTATACGATACGAATACGATATTAATCAAAAAGATGATCAAGTTTTTTTCATTTTGCAGAATTTATGCAGCGTTTTTCACATATCAGTTTTTAGGCTTTTGTATTATGTAAATAAGAGGGCACCCCTAAAAGTATGCAAATTTTATTATAAAATTATATTAGATATAACTATTCCAGGAAAATGTTTAAATGTTAAATTTAATAATAAATAAATGTGAAGCAATTGTTATAGGCAATAAATGAGTTTTGGGCCCATATCAATGAAAAATACAAGAAAGAAATTAAATTGATAAATTAAATATAGAAAAATTAACCAATTTAAATATTTGTTTTGTAGATTTTATATAAAATAAAAAATTTTCAGTATTTTGTTTTTGCAAATAATTTTTGCATTATAAAGCAAATTCTTAACAAAATTATAAGTTTTTGTATTCATTAATAATTTTTATATAAAACATTTTCTATAATTCTTTTATGACTTCATTTCAAAACCATATGTTGTTTATACCCAATATTATACAATCATATCATAGTTCTACTGTTTTTACTTATTATTACTGTAAAATATAATCATGAATAAATGTCATAGAACTGTTATATTTTTATACTATATTATTATTATTCTATACAATATTCAATTCTATTTGAAAATAAGACAAAATCAGCGACAACAACAATAGCAACACAAAAAACTGTAATATTCATTTTTTGTATGTATATCAACATAATATTAATATTCATCCATTCATATATACATATATATATATATATAATACTTAATTTATGTATGCAATGTTTACTGTTATACATACATAATATATTTATATGTTTCACATTATTATATATATATATATATATATTTTATTCTTTAATATGACAACAGTAATAATCGGTGTACAAAACAGAAACATAACGAAACAATTTATTTTTTTCGTTTTTGTTTTTGTTCATTTCTGTTAAATTTTTATTCCTCTCTTTTATTTTCATATCTCTAAAAAAAATTTCTCAGTCAGTCAGTAGTTTCTTATTTTTTTGTTGGGAAACACACAATTACTATTATATAGTATTATTATGTCATGTCAGCTTTAATAGAGTGATATAAGGAAAAAAAAAACATATTAAATATTTTACGACATAACACTTAAAATAATACAAAAAAAAAAAGAATAGGACAAGAGCAAATGAACTAAAAATAATAAAAGAAAAAAGAACATAACAAAAAAAAAATTAAAATTTAATTTTATTTTGGATTCCGTTATATTATTATTAGTGCTGTTATAATAGTAGTTTCTAATATCGTTGTTTTTTTCCTTCTAATCAAAAATAAAGAGAAAAAATTAAAAAAATTAAAAAAATTTAAAAAATTAAAAAATTAAAAAAATATGCACAAAATTTTTTGATTATTTTTTTTTGCAAAAAAAAAATCCTGTATTTTTTATTTAATTTTATTTTTTTTTTTTTGTTTGCTATTGCTGTTAAATATTTGCAAATATAAATAGAGATGAAATAATTTGTACTCAAAAAAAAATAAAAAGTAACAAAAAAAAATATTTTTTTTTCTTATTATTTTTTTCTTATTTTTCTTAAATTTTTAATTTTTTTTTATAATTTTGATTTGCAATAAGACCCGTGTGTATTTTTATTTTAAATAATTAGAATATCGTATTTTATTTATGTATACATTGTAATTATTTTATAAATAATAATTTGCTTACAAAAAAAAAAAAATTGTACATAATTAAATTTTTTTTTTCTTTTTATACTAAAATATTAATATTATTAATTAAAAAAACAGGAAAAAAACCTACTAAATTTCACCTATTACCACCTACGAATTCCAAAATAACAAAAACAAAAAAAAATATCAATATTGTTACCGCTGTTTTTATCCGCAAATCCGCAAAAATCATATTTATTTATTTTTTTTTTTCCTGATTTTTTCTCATTATTATTATTATTCAAAATAAATCATTAGAAACCGAAGAACAAGATGAACAAGAAAGAGGAGAAGAAAATGAAATAAAAAATCATATATAAAAATAAAAATAAAACAAAAAACATACATAAATAATAATTTTATTGTTATAATCATTTAAAAAAAAATCAACAAATAATAAAAAAAAAAAAAAAATAATAACAAAAAACAACAACAAAAAATTCATCAACAACGTTATTATTATTATTATGTTATAATCCTTGTAAATATTATTATATACACCAATTTTTATCGTAATTACATATTATTATATCGTATATAGTTAATATTATTGCCGCTGTTATTGTCATTGTCGTTGTTGTCGTTGTCGTTGTTACCGTCTCCGCATTCATTATTGTATTTAATCACATACCATATTTACAAAAAAAAAAAAGTAAAATAGAAAAAAGAAAAACACCACCAATATAACAAAAAAAAAAAAAAAAGGAACCAAAAAAAAAAAAACTCACCACCATATTATTATTAATATAATTGTAAAGCCGTCATTGCCGTTTGTCATCGTCGCCGTTGTCGTTGCAATCGTTTGCCGTAATTCCGTAATTGTCGTTCTCGTTGATCATTCGCGTCGTTTTCGTTTCGTTTATATTGTTATTTTTATCGTCGTAAATGTCGTAATTTTTTTTTTCCTTCTTCTTCTTTGACGTCGTCGTTGTTTTCGTTCAACATTAATTTTTTTTTTCTTCTTTTCTTTTGTTTTATCTTTTAATTTATACCGTTTTTATAACATTTATCTCGTTTTTGTTTTCTGTTTTGTTTTTTGTTTTTTTTTTGGTTTTGGGACATAAAAAACATTTTCATATATTTATACATATTTATATATGTATATATATAAAAATTTATATATATATATATGTGTATATATCATAAAATACATGTGATTTAGAGCGCTTGTCCAGTAATTTCTCAGTGGGTATATACAAAAAAAAGAAATATATAAGAAAAAATCATAAAAAATAACAAGATAAAAATGCAAAAAAAAATGTACTTTTTTTTTTGAATAAAAGTGTAATATAATAAAGCAAAATAAAAAAAAATCAGAGAAAAAACTCATAAAATTGTATGAAAACAGTGTGCAAAAAAAAAAATAGTGTAAGCATATATACAAATTTGCACATATATATATATATATATATATATATACCTACCTATTGCATATTCCAACATTTAAAATACCAAAAAGCACTAAAATAATATTAAAAAAGGACAAGAAGCACGAAAAATAAGTATAATAAACGAAACAAGAAAATAACGAAAAGAAAATACAACAACAACAGCAACAACAAATATAAAAAAAGAAAAGGATAATATAAGAAGAAAAAAGCAAACAAAAAAAAAATCATTCATCCACTCTGTTTTCTATATAACAAGTAGAGAATAACAAAAAAAAAAAAAATATCAAAAAAAAAATTTTTCAGAACATAATTTTTTTTTTTTTTTTTGCCATCGAACACAACAACCAGCCAGCCAGTATCATAGCAGCTATCTATATAGCAGGTTTACACAGTACAAGTGTAAAAACGAAAAAAAAAAAAAAATAAAAGAAAAAAAAATTATTAAAAAACCAGCAGCACAGCAGCATCAGCAGCAGCAGAGACATCAGAGCAGCTGATGTTTGTGTTGTATTGTTGTTGTTGTTGGTGTTTTTGTTTTTTATGTATATTTATATATATATGTATTTGCTGGTATCAAAGTACTATAATTTCTCAATCGCCGTCATAATCAAATAAAATCCAAAACGAAAAAAAAAAAGAAATAATATATTAAAAAAAAAAAGTAGAAAAGAAAAGAAAAAATTTATTACAACAAAAAAAAAGTAAAAAAAGTAAATAAAATTAAATGAAATATTTATTTAATAAAAATATAAGTATAAAAAAATATATAGAAAATATCAAAGTAAAGTAAGCTAACAAACGAATTTTATATATATATTAATAATAATCAAATATAACAAATAAAAATTGTCTAATAAAAAAAAAAATATAAGAGTCAAGAAATAAGCGAAAAACAAATCACCTATTTTTTTTTTTATTTAAATCTTTTTTTTTATTCTTATTTTTAAAAAAATGGATGAAAATTTTATTATTGGATATAATTGAATAAAACAACGACCGGGAGCATCATTTTTCCACAATTTTAAATTATATATATACATAGAAAAAAAAAGCGAAAACTAAAAAAGCACAAAAACAAAAAAAAGAGCGGAACGGTGGTGTTTTCTGTTATAAAAAAAAAATTTTTTTTTTTTTGTATTTCGCATTTTTGCCTCTTCTATTGTTCTTATTTCTGTTGTATTTTTTTTTCTTCTTTGATTTCATTTTTTTTTTCATTTTATATTTTCTTATCCTCCCTCTTGTCCAAACACATCTTCCTCCTCCTACAGCTCTTCTTTTTCCTCCTCCTTTCCTTGCTTTTCCTACTTTTTCCCCACAATATACTTATTAAATAAAAATCATACTTTTGATTTAATAAAAAAAATTGAAAATTATTGAGAAACATAATCATATAAAAAAAAAAAACAAAAAAAAAAAATAATAATAACATTTAGTTTAGTGTACAAGAAAAAAAAAAATATTTATAATAATAAAGTGTTTTTAGAACACATACTTAGCTAAAGAGAGAGAAAAAGCAGAAGCATTTGAACAAAAAATTATGTAGAAAAAAAATAAATAAAAAATCCCAAGTAAAAAGCAAGAAGAAAATAACAATAAAAAAAAAAAAAAATTAACCGTTCTTCTTGTACTTTATTCCCGTTATTTTTTTTATTTTTTTTTTCATTTTTTTTTGTACTGTTTCTTTAGTTTATTGTTATATATTATTTGTTATATATTATATATATATTTATATAATATTATTATTGTTGTTGTTGCTGCCTCGCTGATATTCGATGTTGTTTAAAATATAATATTTATATTTGGTTAGTAGTATGGTTATTATAATGGTATATAATAATAAATATATATATATATATATAGTAGTGTGTTTATTTTATTATTCACAGTTCAAAAAAATTTTTTTCTCCTTTCATAATCTTTTATAATAATAAATATTTTATTTTTCATATTTTTATATCATCACTATATATATATATATATATATGTAATTTTTGCTTATATTTTAACATATACATACATATATATTAAGATTACATATCATTTTTAAAAATAAACATATATATCATATATATTATATATGATATATGTGATATATATGTATATATCACAAATATATATTAATATTTTCCCTTCTTTTCCATAATATTATTATTTTTATTATATTATATAGTTTTGGTGATGGTCCGGTGTGATTCAAAAAGAAAAAAAAAAAATAATCAAAAAAAAAAAAAACGGCTCACCTATTTTTAGTATAGCTTTTAACTTTATTATTATCAGAAATTATATGTACATATCTTATAATATATTCTTTCACAAAAAAAAAAAACTCTCTGTAAAATGCATGTATACCTATAAACAATTTCTTACTCTATAATAAATATATATATATATATAATATATCTGTGATATAATATTATAATGCACATTACATGGTAATGTATAAGAGAATGGAATAAAGATAAAAATTTAAAAATATATAATAATATATTATGTATACAAAATGTATATGATATATATATATATATATATATATATATATATATATATGAAATATATTGCGAATTGTGTGTAGGGGAGGAAAAATAAAAGTATCCATTTTTGGTTTTTTGTTTTTGTTTTCTTGTAAAATATTATGAAAAATGAAACCCCATTTTATAACATGTCCCCATTTTTATATTATTATTATTATTATTATTATAATATAATAAATAATGTGGACAAAAACGTAAAAAATATAAAAAATAAAGATAATAAACTAAAAAACAAAACAAAACTAAAACTAATAAACAATAACTAATTAACTAAAATGTAAAAATTAAAAAAAAAAAAAAAACTGAAATATAATGGTTGCTTTCCAAGATAATATACAAAATATACAAATGTATGTTAAAAAATTTAGTGTATATATACAAAGTTATAAAATCATGTTAACGTTTACATTGTTATTCAAACTACCTTGCATCTCTTCTTCTTCTATTTCAATGCAAAATCATATTATATTTTAAAAATTAACAAATAATTTTTTTTTTCACTCAAAAAATTACAATTATTAAAATTATGAGATTGTTTAAATAATTCTAAAACAAATGATATTTTAAGACAAAAAATAATAAAAAAAAATAAAACAAAAAATCATTTCGTTTTGTAAACGAAAATCTTCCTTGCTTTGATATCAACACAAAATTTATTACAATAATATTTAAGCTGACAATATATACACATACATACACATACATACGTATAATAAAATGTGTATTTAACTTTAGATATATGTATACACAGACAAGGTTTCTTTAAATAAAAAAAAAAAAAATTTTTTTTTTATTAATAATTAATGCAGCTATGAAAATAAAAAGAAAAAAAAATACTTTTTTAAATTTAAAATAATTAAATTTTATACAATAAATAATATTATATAACAAGAAGACAAAAATTAAAAAAAAAATAGGAGCCTATTTTTATGTAATTTCACACATTTTAATAATATTTTTTTTTTCAAAGAGAAATTGCTATATAATTTTCAGTATAGCTGTATAGGCTTATTTCTTTACATTTCTCAAGGATATTTAAGAGATTAATATAGTGGGAGTATTTTACATAAAAAATATATATATATTCCAGAGAAAAAAAAAATAAAAACTAAATAAAAACTTTAATATAATAGTTAACATTATTAAATTACACAATAAATAAACAATAGATTTAAAGCCCCCAATTATATGCAATTTTTTTCGGATTTTTTTTTCTCAAATTTTTCTTTTTAAAATTGCTTGTATATAGCTAGGTATATATTATGTTTTAGATATATATGAAATGTGTAATATAATTTATTAGATAGATAGAATTTTTCAAGGATATGGTAAAAAAATTGTTTTTTTCTTTCTTTCTTATTATTTTTTCTGTTTTTTTGTATTAGAATAGAAAATGATGTCGGGAGAATTTGTAATTTATATAGATATTTTTCGATAACAAAAATATTTTATTTAAAAATAATAATAAATGTATGTATATATATAAGAGAATTTATATATATTAAATAATTTTATTATGATTATTTACATATGCAGTTAAATATTACTTTTATTTTTGAAAATTCTCTATTTACCTATTTATATTTTCAATTTTTCGTTCTACTTAAGCTTATAAAATAAAATTTCAATATTAAATTCCATAAAAAAAATATATTCATAACATTAAATTTTATATACACACGTATTGCGATAATAGACATACATTTATATAATAAATACAAATTTATATATTAATATACTTTAATAATTTATAATATATATATGTAAATTGTTACAATAAACAAATTTATAAATATATATATACATAAATATAAAAATAATGTTCAAATATAAGTGAGAATAATTGAATTAAATCATAAAAATAAAAAAAAAGAACAATTTTAAAAGCAAAAAACAAATAATAAAATATTTTAATGAAATTGAATAAGACTCCCCCTAAAATAAAATCAAATATATAATAAATTGTTTTAATAAAAATATAAGATTTAATCAAATTTATTAAAATATATATATATGATTATATTGTGGAAGCTCTCAATAATATTTTACTATAGTATAAAATTAAAATAATTAAGAAAAATAAAATCAAAATAATGAGAAATAATAAAATCTTATTAATAATAAAATAATAAACTACAAAGCGTCGCCTGTTGATATGCAATATTTTTTTAAAATTATTATTACATTTTAATTTACTAATTAATTCTTATTAGGCTAGCTAATTGAGATTTCAAAAATAAATATTACAGTTCTAAATAACGCATCTATTAAATTTTCAATAGAAATTTATATTAAAGTGAGTTATTCAACAAAATTCGTATAAAAGTTGAATTGGATTTAAGAATCATGTTACTTTAATAAAATAGAGAACTCAAAGGTAAAATATTTGATGAAATTTTTAAAAGTTGAAACATAATATACATAATATTATAGATATTATAATAGATTTTCAATAATAATAGCTTATATATATATTTTGATATATACTTAATATTTCGGAATTAAAATAATTAAATGAACAATAATAATATTTAAATAAATAAATGAAATAGAATTAATTGTAGGGGTAAGACTAATAAAACATTTCTGATCAATTCAGTTTAATTTTTAAAATATAATCAAAATAGTTTATTTTCCGAAAAAACAATTATAATCTAATTTTCTAGTAATATTTTTTTAAATATTTTGTTATAAAGCCAAATTATCACAATTTTACCGCATCTGCTACAAAACTTTGTAGCTTTTTCTTTTAATTAAAATAATCGAAAAAATTTGAGAAATTTTTCTTAAAATTCTAACTTAAACAATGAGTATTATCGGGCCTAAAATTTATTATTTTTGAATTATATTAGAAATTCCTATTAAATTTCTTTTAAGAGTTCTGTAGTACACATTTATAGAAATGAAATAATTAACATTTATTCGGAAATTCTAATTTCTTAATATTTAATAAATATTTTATTAAATACCATTATTATAGCAAAAAAAAAAATTAATAATTCGAGTATTGTTATCAATTGAAATTTCATTTGAATATCTTATTTTGTTAGGCAATAGACTAAAAAATTATTAATTACAATAGCATATTATAATTTTTCTCACAATGTAAGAATTTTACAATGTAAGATTAAAATATAGAAAAGTAAAATATTTATTATAAATAAAATAAATATTATTTAATTAAAATTACAATTTAATAATGAAATTTTGATAGATGATATAATTATCTATATCCTTAATATATATATATTATAT